AGCCCTCCTGCTCCACTTGGGTGAGGGCAGCCCTCCTCCACAGGGCTCCTCGAGCAGCTTTAAGGCACACAGAGCAGTTGGAGACCCTTGGCAGAAAGGCACTGTAGGGGGACAGAGCATTATTAACTCCTCTCAGCTGCAACCACTGCCCCAAAGCGAGGTAGAAGAGAGAAGGAGAAAATGGCAAGTCCTGGCATTCAACCCATTCCTGCCCTCCTTCCTCACAAGCTCCAGACTACGGCACTTAAAACCCAGCGACAAACAAGGACAGATGGAAACTCCAGGCAGTGTGAAGGCTCTGTTATGCTTTTCTGTAGCCCTAAGCGTCAGCAGGATGCCACTCTGTTCTGATATTGCAGCGAGGACGCGGACGATGCAGCACCACCAGCCAGGATCAGAGCACCAGGCCAGGTGTCATCTCGACCACTCAGTGCATGGAATGCATTAAGTAAATACTTGTAATTTGTTCTCTGTTTACCTATTTGGTCGTGTTTTCGATTCTCTTTGTTTCTTTAAATTCCTGCACAAATCCCATCCATATTGCCGTGTTCTGTAAGCAAGATAACATGAAAACAGGACACTGCATTATCAGAATTCATCTTCTCAGCAGATCCAACAGCTCCAGAGGTCTGGGCCAGGACCCTGGGATATGCACACAGCACTGCCCCTCTCAGACCTGTGCCATTCATCAGCCTTCAAAGAGAACTGCAGACCCAAGAGGGCACGGTAATGTGAATTCATTGAAGGGATTGTACAAAACAGGGCCTCCATCCCCTCCTCATCCTTGCACACCGCACAGAAGAGCTGGATGAACCAACCACCCCCTGCTAATTGCACACTTCTATCATCCCACCCTGAAGCACCAACGCTTTTCTGCTCAGGGATCCCCAGCCAACCAGATGATTTGCACCTGGTTATGTCTTTAAATACTGATATTATCACAGGGTTCTGCAGTGTTTGCCTTGACTGTGTAATGATGGAGAACTGCGCTGCTCTCCTGGGGCCAAAAATTCAGATCATAGATGAAGGAATTTAACAGCACGCTTGAACACAGCATTCCCATCCACCTCGCAGCTTCCCGTGACTGCAGCAGCACCATTACCCTCCTTTCTAAAGCTCAATTGTACTTTTTCCTTATTAGCTTTCATCCCGTCAGCCCAAAGCAGCTTACAAACATCAGCTGGGATTGCAGAACCTCAAATAACAAGGCAAACCAACAACGCCGTGACTCACTCAACCAGCGTAGAACAAACACAAGATAACGCCGTCACCACACAACACGACTTCATTTCCAAACCTGGTGCCACCGTTGCTATCGTTAATTATGCCAGTCATTAAGTAGCTGGACATAGGAAGCCCTTAAGCCATTGCCAGGCTCCAGAAAGACACCGCAGAAGGAGGGCACTCCATATCCACCCCGAGCAGCATTGGTGCAAATGGACGCACGGGACAAGCTGATGGCCTGGCATCCCTCAAAAGCAGCTCTGTTACTATTTGAACCTTTCAGTTCTCTTTATCTCGCAGTCAGGAGCCGCTCAGCTGGAGAGCAGCCACCATTTTAGAACTGCTCGGAGGTGAGGCTCACGGGCACTGCGCTGAGGGGCTGGTGGGTGATCTCAGAGCTCTTTTCTAACCCTTATGATTCAAATAAAGTTCCAGAGGAAAAGAAACAGCAACAAACCAACACCCTCCCCCCCCCCTCAAAAAACCCCACACATCACCGTGTCAGCTGAAAAACACGTTGGGAGAAGAACACAAAAGCAGCTGCAGCCCTCTGCTGCCATCGTATGGGAAGGAGCAGCACCAAGGCCTCTCCCCAGGGCTCCAGCTGCCCTTCCCCAGAGAGATGCGGGTTTCCAGACAGCCCTGAGAAGAAATAATATTAAGAATCAGTTTGTTGGTGAGCACGGCTTGCTGCTTCAACAAAACAGCGTCTCATGTGGTTTCCCGTGCGCGCAGCAGCACCGTGCCCCGTGACAGTGCCATGCAACAGGGCAGTTTGTAACCCCTGCAGCAAGGAAGGTTGTTAGCAGGGGCAGACGGTGCCACGTGGCTGCTATAGGCAAACCCAGCAGCCTCCTGCGAGGGACGCACGTGGAACACACCGTGCGTTTGGGGGATGCAACCGGGTGAACTCGGGGCCTCGCAGCAGCCACCCACTGCAATTTGGGGCCGAGACGAGGACAGCACGCATCTACAGCCACCAGAAAGCCGTGGCAGGGCTCCTCAGCCCGCTGCAGGAGCCGGGAACCGCACGGACCGAGCCGCCTTATGGCGCTGAGCTCTGAAATGGAGGCTCAACGGCAGTCTGGTGTTAATTATTCATGAGGGGGCGCGGCCACGAGAGAGACGTTGCTGTACAATATGTTAATTAATGATGATGGAGGCGTGGCCACGCGAGAGGACGTTGTGTTGCACCTATTGATTATTCATGAGGGGGCGTGACCACGCGGGGACGTTGCTGGAAGGGGCGTGGCCTCGAATCAAACAGAGGGCGGGGCCCAAAGGGCGGGAAGGGCTCCGGAGGGGTCTGGGCTGCTGAGGGAAAAAGGCGGGAAAGTAATCCCCGCCTGTAATTAGGAGGGGAAGATTATGGCCAACGCTTCCGAAGAGCTGGAATAAAACGCTTCAGCGCCCTCTGAAACGCCTGGTGTTACAAGGCTGGCCTTACAGAGAACCGGCGCCCTGAACAGGGAAGTGTTTGAGCTGGGCCTCCACATACACCGAATACACGTTTGGGTTTAACGAATAAAAAGACGCTGAAGCGCACAAACACAGCCTGCCCCACACTGAGCCCCGCAGGCGCTGAGGGGCTCAAAGAGGGCAGCGAGGCCCGGCAGAATCGCCACAGAACGCATTTAGATGCGCGAATGAAGCGGGTTCGTTTCCCCTCCAGGTGTGTGGGGCGGCTCGGCGCTGTGGGAGCCCTGTGTGCTGCCCTGCGGCCTGGCGCTGCGCCTCGGCCTGGGGGCCCTGAGGAGCACCAATGAAAGGCCCAGCACCACGAATGGACAGAAAGTCATCACAACAACACTAATAGTAACAATGAGAGAAGCGGGTGTTTTCTTGCTCCTGTAGAGATTCCTGTGCTGTCGCTCCACCGCCGCCCTCAGACTGTCCCCATCACAGCTGTTCACTAATTGGGGTTTTTATTGCACTGCTTTGCGCCACCAAAGAGCAGCAATAAAAACACGCTTCCCACCAGCCGTCAGTCTGGGCCGCTGGGTAACAGCACTGACATCCAGGGCAGTTTATTTTGCCGTCCCTCACTTGAATTCATGCACTTCCCTGAGGAGGAAAAGCAGTAAATTCCTGCTAATATTTGAGGCGATTGGTTTTATGTCACTGGCTGTGAGTGAGGGGAATGGAGAGGATCCAAACCAATCCCCAAAGCAAACAAGCTTTTGTAACAAGTGTTTGCCAAAGGCTAACAGGGGGCTGGGGAAAATATCCGTGGGGCTGAAGGGCGTCCATTAGCAGGAATTTAGCGACTGCTTGAGGATGGGGAAGGTTGTATAGGAGATAGGAAGTTGATGCTTTCGGCCTTGTAAACAAATTAGGTTATAGCAACAAATAAGATGAACCTTCCTGGACAGTGCTATGGGTTGAGCTTGTTAAATATTTAACATTTACCTTTCAATTTCCAGTCTCCATTAAGCAGTTCTCTAAACAAGCGGAGTCCCAGCAGCAGATGGAGGTACACAGAGCATTGCACCGCTCTGGCTGAATTCCCTAAGAAATAAAAAACAAGCCAGAGAGGAAGCAAGGAGGAGCTTTTCTGTTTATCTGGGGGTGATTTCTTGAAGGTTCTTACAGGCTTCTTGGAAATTGCATCCATTTTCTATCTTTCACTTAAGCAAAGCCAAGTGAAACATTCATTCTGGTGCAGATACATTTGCTTCTGGTGCTTGCGGAGCTACAAAATATAAGCTGTCTGTGCTAAGATTGTAACATAGCTAAACTAAAAATGTTTCCAGCAAAGCAGGACTCCCTCTCATGGTCGATGCCGACCCCGCTGCCCTCAGCAGAGCCCATCTGTAACACTTCCACTGGAATGTCCTTTCTGTTGTCAGTACAGACAGAGCTTCCATTGTGGACGTGGTGTATCAGAGAGGCCCGGCCTGCGTGCTTCAGCAATAAATACGAGGGATGTTTGGAACTTGTTTTCTGTAATTTTGGTAAATTTTTGATCTTTCAAACAACGGAGTCTATTCTCTGAGCACATTTCGCACTGATAGTAACTGGGATGTTGCAGTGCAGCTTGGACAGACTCCAGTTGTGTTGCTACCAGCGCTGCCAGCTCCTCTACTCACACAGCAGCGCTCATCCTCTTCGTCAGTTTCCCTGAATCCTCATCTGTCAGAACCAAGAAATGGTGTTAAAAAAACCACACACACACAAAAGTTAAACGTTAAGATGCAGTGAATCACTGAACCTTGCTGTTGGGCAGTGTGAGGTACGCCTACCCCAGAGACTCAGAGCAGAAGGCAGATCAAAAGCTCAGTTCTTTCTCAAACCTCACTGCTTTTTAGACCTTCGTTTGGGGAAAAGCTGTGTCACTGAATCAGGCAATACTGTGCGGTTTCTTTGTACAGCACACGTAGTCATTACATTGAATTAAGCCACCTGTCAGTTTAAATGCTGCTGGAGATGGATGGTTTGCAGCTTTGTACCTGTAGTATTCTGGTTTGGCCGGATGTCAGCACGCATGTGTGGAATTATCACTCTAAAGCAATCAAGAATACTTCTGGTAACATCAATAACATCACTACCTCTGTTTTATTACTATTTATCCTGTTGAATAATCTGTGTGATCAGGTAAGGGAATGTTGTTGATGACTGCAACCTGTCTATTTTCCAACATTTATGCAGTGCACCCAACCGGGATTTTCACACTCTGCTGCTGTGCCAACAGCCATTTCCTCTTCTTACCTTTGGAGAGATTTCCCCATCTGAAAATACAACTCTCCTGTTTTCTCCCCAGGATAAATGTGTGAACGATGGCCTCCATTGCAAGGACCAGCTGCACCTCCGCCCCAAACCAGAAGCACAGAGGCAGTAACCAACGCTGCAGGCGGAGCTGCAGCACTGTGGATGCAGATTCCCAATCTCTGTCTACACTGGGATACTTTAAAACACTGCCATTAGAGATCTTCCAAATGCTGCTGAGCTATCTCTCAGGTGAGGCTCTGACGAAAGAGGTTTTGTTTGCAATATCTGAGCATCACCACTTCAAAAGCCATTACTGTTTAAAATGTTTTCCCTTTCGGTGAGTTGAGGACATTTCATGTCACTCGTTGTCTGAATTTTCTGCTTTTAGGTCTGCGAGGAACCACGTTTCTAAAAGCCAAACGTAATTGCAGACTGTTGGAAACACTTTTTGCCTATTGTGTGACAAGTATTCCTTAGATCAATGCACTGCTAATTAATCCCAGTCTGTTGGGAAATGGGTTAAGCGGAAATTAATTAATTAATTACAAACTTCATTTCTTGACCTGCTTTTGAAGTTATTGGCTGCTGATCAGCACTTTTCTTGCAGCAAAGACTTACGCCTGGTTTTGCTCTTTCAGTGAAGGACATCAGTGTGCTGAGCATGGTGTCAAAAGCCATCAGCAACCGCCTCGTTAATTACATCTCAACCCCATCAGGAAACCGAAGGCTGTTACTGCAAGACTTCCATGACATCAAGCTGCCTGGCAAGAGGGATGGATCCTGCATAATAGAGCACTACAAATCTCTAGGTGATCCTTCGGAGCCAGTGGTAACGATTAGAGGGGACCCAAACTTGGTTGAAAGGGTTCTGCTCTGCCTGTTGCTCGGCAGGGCACTGAGGGCACAGCCCCAGATTTCACAGCTCCCTGTGGAAGTGAAGTTCCTCACTGTGCCAAATGGCCCACATTGATACCATGAACTGAGGGGGTTGCTTGAAATGATGCCAGAACCTCCTGGTCCTGGATAAATGCTGTGCATTCGGCCTCCTCCACCGTGTTTATCTTTATTTTTTTTCATATTAAATGGAACACAGAGGGGCTGGCTCTGTTCTCAATAGCAGGTTTTTCCAAATTTAGTTTATTTGGACACCGCAACTGGAAACTGCAGCAGGAAGCTGCAGGGCTCCCAGGCTCACAGGAGGAATGTGGCTGTTCAGACCGCCTGCTTGTGTCAGTTTGGAGTAGATTGCATTCCTCAGCCTGGGAAAATGCTGCTGCTGTGCTTAAATGCAGCCTGGTTCTAAAGCCACTGCCACCAGAGGGGCTGACAGCCTGCAGGAGATGCAGTGCAGAGCACATCCCACCTCCTGGAAGAGAAGTGTCCTCCCCACGAAAGCGTGGTCACAGCTGTCACTGCTGAGCATTTCTCTTTGGCAGCCTTGTCACAGAGTTCAAGGGCCAAAATGGGCACCAAGAGCTCCTCCTGAGCCCCAGTTATGGGCAGTGCCTGCATTGTGGCTGTCATGGCACACAGTGTGTGAACCAAAGCTGGGTGGAAAGGCCCATTAATTCTTTATTCAGCCCTCTTTTAGCACAGCCTTGTAGAAACTAAGATCCAAATGACATGGAGTTGCTGGTAGTGGGGAGCACTGTGCATCCTTGTGTTAGAATTTGCTTTCTCACTTTTTCTGCTGGTTGTTTAAAGCGTTTATTCCAACTCACTCAGCCCAACACTGAGAGGTGGAACACTTTCCATGTATGTAAAGCAGCCAAAAACTTCTTCACCCATCCACCATAAGCATTAATCCATCAGACAGATTAGATTGGAACTTCATTTGACCCGTATTAACGGAGCTGATTAAAAAAAGTTGTTGCTCATTTGACAGAGAAATCAGATGACATGATGGCTAGATGCAGCATTACAGCTGTAAGTTTGGAGGCACACACAGGGCAAAAGAATGCAGCTTAGATCAAAGGCATCTCATTGTAGGCAAGCCACGTAGACTGTATGGTATCTTAAAATAATTTCAGTGCTTGACTCGTTTCTAAAATGAGGCTGATACCCTGAAGTTGTTGTTCTGTTGTTGTTGTTAATTAAAATTGGCTCAGGCATCATAGCAACCACACATGAAGTGGCAACTTGCTTGAATAGGGCTGTGAGCCCCACGCCAGAGCAGGCCCAGCAACAAAAATACGTCTCCTGTATCCACAGGTGATCAGCAGGAGGCTCAAGAGAACGTTTTGGTTAAGGGGTCAGGTACAAAATCAGTGTTTGCTTTACAGCAATTTGGCTCAGAGGGAAAAACCATCCCTGTCCAGAGGGCTGCAGTCTGCCTGTGCTGCACGAGTCCCTTCAATTTCAGGGTCTGACAGCAGGACCCCAATGCTTCCAAGGAAAGAGCCCACGAAATGCAAGAAGCACTGTCTGACATTGGGGAAGTTTGTGGGAGATGGCAGCCCAGCACAAAGCACGAGCTTCTCTGCAGATTTCTTCATTTCTTCATTAACTGTGCCTGCCTTATTCTGGCTTAAAGGTCTTTCCCAACCAAATTCTGACCTTATTCTGACTTAAAGGTCTTTCCCAACCTCAATAGCTCTACCACCCTACGTATTACTCCAATAGCAGCTTCTGAAGAGCAAGCTGTCAAAAAATGCTTCTGAACAACCAGCCCAGGCAGTGCAGTAACGATGTGCCAGTGAGGAACTCACAGCTGTGTTTATTTCCTTTGCAGGGCTGTTGCTTAAGAGATGCACCCTTCTGTTGCCTACCAAAGACAGGCTGAAGTACGTGCACAAGGTTCTCTCTGAAGTAAGCCCACCTGCTCTGAATCCTTGAGTTCCTTTACAGTGATTTGTGGTGGAATGGCCTCTTACTGTCCCTGTGCTGGAGGCCATTGCCACAGCACCCTGAGTTTGAGTCCTGCACCCCTCTGATCCGTACGCAAGGAATCGTGAGCATTTTCAGCCGCAGGAACCCGCCTATGTTAATTACTGTTAATTACTGCTGTTCTGTGCTTACAGGTTTCCTGCTTTAAACTCAGCGGCTGTCCGAGTCCCCTGCACTGTGTAGGATTGCAATGCTATGGGGTATTTTTGCAGGTATGGCATCTTCCTGGAGAGAAGGCGAGTATCACCTGAAAGAATTTGTTCTACCAATTCATCTGTGCTTTTGCAATATGCTGAGAAGCTTAAGAGTGCTTTAAGCTGGGTGGGAGGGGACAGCTTGCATTTATCTCACATGAGAAGTTACATTTCTACCTAAGCCTGCAGCTCAATCCATCTATTCCCCCCCGTTTTCTTTTTTGTGGTCTCCAGATCCTAATAGCAGGCTGGGATGAGTTGGAGTGTCACCGGGTCTTCAACTTCCTCTGTGAGCTCAGCAATTTGCCCCGTAAAGTGCAGGCAGTCGTCAGCTGCAAGCCAGGTAAGCAGCAGAGCAGCTCCTCCCAAATCAAAGCGCGCCATGGAGAAGCCCCAAAATGGATCCTGATGGCTGCGATTCATCAGGACTGAGAGCAGTTCAACTCCGCCGAGCCTCGAGGCGCTGATCCTGACTCAGTTTGTTAGCAGCCCTGCTGTCACACGCACAGCAGGAATCCTAAAGCAAAAACTTGGCCTTCGTACGGATCCTTTTTTTTTCCCCACCAAAACCGAAGGTCGGGCGAGATTTCATGAGAGCCACCCCTTTTTAAAGCTGATTTTCCCACTGTGTTCTCAAAGCAGTGCGGTGTTACACACACACACAGCTCCAAACATGGGCTTGGTGTCTCCTGCAGAGCACTGCCAAGGGAAACTGATGAGAAAGCAGCCAGGAGAGAAGCGATGCAGCGCCAATTAGATCTGCTATTTCTGAAGTCCACTTTGCAGGAGCTCTCCTGTTGGCCAGCACTGCCCTGGCTGTTCCCGTGGAACACTTTACACACGATTCCTCCTGTTTCCACTTACTGATTCCATCAGAGGGAAAAGATCAGAGGAATCAACCAGCAGAGCTGAACGCACGCTTGCAGAGGGCTACCAGAGGGGGCACTGAATTACTGCAAGTTATCCAGAGGAGCCAAACTCAGCAAGAAACGGCTGAGAATCAGCGCCCCCTCCTTCAGAAATCCCTTCTCCCTCTGCCCGGCAGATGATCCCTGTGCTGTGGGAAGGACGGCGGGTTGATGCCTGTGTTTGTTCCCCCCAGGAAGCGCCAGGAAGCTGGAGCTGAGGATCAGGCTGTACTGCAGGAGCGTCCTGCTGACCCACTGGGCTCATCGTGGTGATTCTGCCTTCTGGTTGACTCGCATTTTAAAGCCGTGGCCAATGGTCAACCAAGCTCGCCTGCTGTACATCATCTTTGGGCCAGTGTCCCCCCTTGATGGCAAGTAGTTTGGGGGGGGTCACTGTTCAAAATGTCTCCCTTGAGAGCGAGGTTTCCTGCAGGGTGCAGCGATTCCCATCCCGGCTTTATGCCAATCCAATGTAATCTTATCACCTGGAGACAAATCTGCAGCTGCACGTGACAAACGTAGATGTTGAGTTACAGTTAAAGCGAGGGAGCTGCAGCCTGAGCAGAGCAGAGTCAGGCTGCACACACCTCAAAGAAGCACCTTGCTTCCCTCAAGAAAAATGCTTTTTCACTGCTATTCAACCAGACTTTCTTTAAGTCACCCCATCCGCTGCTGCTGCAACCCCTGCAAAGTGATGGAAGACAAATCTCTCCATCACCAAGGCTGAATTACCTGAACTCCCTTCCTCTGACTCTGCTCTAAGGCCCATTTCCATTGGTTAAAAAAATTGCTTTGTGATTAATATTGCTCAGGACACGTGGTTTGGCAGAAGATGATAGAAGGACCAACAGATGAGACCAGTCTGAAAGGTTTAGCAGATGCCATTAAGCTCCTGTACGATGCAGAAGCAAGAGAGTGGACAGCAGACGATGTTATCAGCCTTGTGGATGAGCTGTCAGGTGTGTTTGTAGCTTTCTCATTAATCCACAGCACTGCATGCTCACAGCTTCCAGCATTAATTGCATTCCAGACACTCAGCGCCGACTGCAATATTCCTTGCAGTAGCTGAGGGGTGACTGGAAAAGCCATTAGGTTTGGAAGCTGAGGAAGAGAGAAACCCAGCTTATAAACCCAGGCTGTCTTTCCCCATTGTGAAGCAGTTTTAGAATCTGTGAAGGCCTTTAAAATCCAAGCCCTGTCTGACTGTAGTTCTGAGGGCAGCCCCCCCCCCGATTCTCCTTAACCACCAAAGCCAGCAGTTTATAAATTCACCCCTTCCTCAGCAGCCCATAAAGGCTCTCCTCTTTGTTTGGGGCTCACTAAGGCTGTCCCAATTTCATTACACAGTGGTTCCCCGCGAGTGGCTGCTGGAGAACAACGCTCGGCTCCTCATCCTGAGTGGAAACAACATTTGCTTCACTTTCATGGCCAGCAAAGCAGTGAATGGAAGAGCTGTGGAGTTGGCCAGACTCGTGGTCTTCCTGGCCTTGGTGAGTGCTGCTGAGCAGCCCCTCCTGTCTCTCTGCTCCCAGATTTGCTTTCTTAGGCTTGAAATCTCTTTCCCCATCTACTCCTACGATCTGTGAGTAGTCCAGCAGGAGACTTGGTGCTCTGTCACTGCCTGGTCCCTGTGCAACACATCCAGCAACACAACCTCTGCGAGGCAGTAAGCCTGCAAGCCTGCTCCTGAGGAGAGGGACCTCAGGCAAAAGGCAGAGGAGATTCCCTGGCAGTGATGCCCCCACAGTTAGCTCTGGTTGCAACCAATGCAGCCATTTGTCAGAGTCTGTTATTAGAGCTAAGATTTCACCTTGCCTTTTTAGTGTCAGACCTGTCACAAAAAAAACCCCACGTTTCTGATATCTCGTGTGCACATCAGGTGTGTGAGAAGGACCTGTACTGCATGGACTGGGCGGTAAAAATGATGCAGAAGGTCTGCAAAGTTTTCAGCACCCCGGGAGAGAGAAACATCTTCCTGCAGAGCGTGGAGAACGCCTTTGCTCACATGGTCATGGACACGCTGCAGGCAGTGCTGGCCGGTAAGCCTGCAGGCTGAGCTCCTGCAGCTCTGTGTGCCACAGCAGGCTGTGCACGTCTCCTCAGCCCCACAGGAGCTCAGCTGTGGCTCTGGCAGCGAGCAGCACGGCTCGCTTAGGGCAGGTTTTCATCCTAGCACACGACTGTTCCTGTGTTCACCACCTTTGGGTGAGCCAGCAAAGGGATTTCGGAGGGCGTCTCGCGTGTCATTTCACAGCTGTCCTACCATCAGGTGCAGCACAGCTGATGCCTCATAAAACTAAGTGGAAACCTGCTGATTTGGCCTCTGCGATAAACGCAGAGTGAGGTTTCAGAGTCCCTGAGTTGGTTTTTTTCCTTCCTGTTGACAGGGAATCGTGACCAAGAGGACGTCAGCTTCCTGAACCTGTTCCACCTCGTGAACGCACAAGCGAACTTCCACAAGGAAATTCTCTACCTGGCCATGAGAAGCAGCAGCAGCTCCATTTGATGCTGTGCAGCAGCACCACCGGGCGCCGTGCAGCTCGCAGACTCCCGCTCTGCTCCTCTGCAGCTCTGC